CGGATATGCCCAGCGGAACAGGGGTTTTCAGGACCCCGTTTCTCCCCTCCCCCACCTTCCCCCTCTTCTTGTTTACCTCACTTCTGTTGTATGCTTCGTCATGTGAAGTGCTCCAACCAGCTCGCCTGCATAAATCAAGCTCAGAGTCCTCTTGTGCAACTTCGTTGCAGTGTCGGAAAGTGTAAAGCGCGTCCTCGATAACGGAGACAGCTTGCCAGCAGAGTAAAGGCCGGTTCTCACATGCAGCGAAGCGCTGATGTAGCGCTGCTCACGTGTCGTCAGCTACTTATCGTCTGCAACAAGGAACAGTCTTGACGGTGCGATACAAAGCTGGTGAGCGCTCCCGTTAGCACGTGCTTAGCGCGAGGTCGCGCGCTATGCATGTAGCGCTTCGCTGCATGTGTGAACAGGCCTTAATGTTGTGAGATCACCAACGATCGATATCGAGGGCGCGGAGTGTCCAAGTGCTCGCACGATGCACAACCTCTTTCCTTTCTCTCTCTCTCGCTTTGCAAAGTGCAAATATGCATAATTACTGGATACCGATAAATTTACAGAGCATCCCCGTTGTTTTCGTGAAGCAAGTCATTTTTACAAAAGAAAGGAAGGGAAGAAAACTGACAAAGAAACTGATCTTTTTTGCGTCCTGATACGCTACGCCAATGTAAAGCGTACCTTTAAGTGCCGTCTTACCCGAAGCATATCATTAAAGGGCAACTCCGCTTCATTTTTGATATTTAGAAAACTATGTAGCCCTCTTCAGTATCATATAGGAAGACCCCATGTCAAATATTACGATCTAATTCCGTCTATATATTTAATAAACTGGCCAGCGAACCTTCAAGCGAGCCAAGTCGCCGAAATCTGCCAACTCTAGCGTGCGGCGCGAGGCGCAATCATCAGCGCAGTCAATAGGGAGTTTTCGTAGATCGTTTTCGCCGCCCCGCAAGGCCCTCCGCAACCCGCTACGATAGCGGGAACTCCACAGTCAAGGCTATCGGCGCGCAGGCGCATTAGCAACTTCTTCGTTGCGGAATGCTTAGCGGAGGAGGCAGCGCGGTCTACGAAAACTCCCTAATGCCACGGAGTTGGAGCGGCCAACGTTGAACCACTACGTCAGAGGCATGCATACTTCATTCTCACGTTTTGCTTGTTTTTACTTTTCAGAGCGAAATTTAACGATGACGTCATGAGTTTCTCCTCCCGGTGTTGGCTGACCGGGCGTTCACGTGATCACCGCTGCCCTCCGCGCTTATCGGTCTGTTTCTCCGCTCCCCTTCTCCTCTTTCGTCTTCTACCCTTCCCCCTCTCCCCCCGGGCCATCACCGTCCACGCCAAGCGAAGCGACCTGCCCGCGTCCAAAAAAAAAAAAAAAAAAAAAAGGACCTGCCCGCGTCGCGTGTCCTGTTTCTCGCTCCCTCCCGAACGTCACAAGACCACGTGATTCGACGTGAGGTGCCCATGACTGTGACGACCCGAGACCAATGTTGCCTGACGCAACCGAAGTTTCGGTTTCGGTATCTGCTGATGTTTAAATTAGGATTACACAAATATTATTACACATTTCGCGAATCCGAAGACGTAGAGTTGTTGAGTATTACTTTGTGAATGTGAATCACATGGAAGCATAAATTTTTCGAAATTGAGCGGAGTTGCCCTTTAACGAAAAAAAAAAATTACAAGAATGGAAATTCTTCGCAAATCAAATATAGTATACGGTGATCGTTCCCGACACGAGCGGCGCATTAAGTTTGTATAATGTTTCGTGCTAGGACATTTGCAAGGCCCTGTCCTTGGGTCCATATATACTCTCGTACGCAAAAAATGCCGACGTCGCTCAACATTGTATGCGGTGCGCAAGTTCGTCTGCTTCTTTTGGAGGGGTTGCACTGACATCAGAACACTGAGCTCTAATTGGCTATGATGGAGGGATAGTGGGTAAACCTCAATGCTAGCTACCTTGGGGTCTACCCACTATCCATCCAATAGGAGCCAATCGGAGCTCAGCGTTCTGATGTCACCGCAATAGGGAGTTTTAGCGAGTCGTTTTTCAAGCACACGGTTCCGAAATCACGAACGGTACAGCTGGTCCGTTCCGTGAAACCGTACGTCAAATTTCACATACTTTAGCGAATCGTGAAAGTGGCGCGACCGTGTAAACGATGATGATGATCGTGCTTAACGGTGGCGCCATCTTCTAGTAAACATGTGAAACATTCTGCAACGTGTAAATCCGTGCCGACGGTGGCGGACACCGTGGTGGCGGCTCGTGTTTCCGGCGTACGACTGATGTAAACAAGACGGCCGATGTAATAATTGCCGGTCGGAATTTCAAGAACTGCGAAGCTAGATCGAGTAAAAAGTGTCTGAACGACCGTAAAGGTATCATGGTGCGTCTCCGTCATCTTGAACTTGAACGATCGTTCACGTTGTGTGCCGTCGAACCAAATCATTTCGTCTGCTCGCGGTCGCCTCGGCAGCTAGTCTGCCCGCAGATCGCAAAAATTTACTAGCATGCGCAGTTAATAGTAGTCACGATCGCTTACCATTGTGAGTAGTCCTCGAAATGATTTGGTTCAACTCTCAAATAAAACAGACTAACAGGACGGCAAATCGCCTCCCGCTGTCCTAAGCCTAACGCTCGGCTGGGTTGGCGAAGGCGGTCGCCAAACCGACCGCCATCTTCTTTTTACCCGAGTCGTGAACGGTGCTGGCTGCGTTGCGGTGACGACTCCAGCGGCCGGAATGGGAGAAACGAACGAGAAGAGCCTCCCGACTTCCCGAACGACTAGCGCGCGCATGCGCAGTGGCGTCTCGGATGCGTTCGAGGGCGAACCGTTCATGTGGAAATGACCTGCTAAAACTCCCTAATCTCTGCCGAGGAAGCAGACGACCGGTACGTCTGCTTCTTTTGCAGGGGTTGCACTGACGTCAGAACGCTGAGCTCTCATTGGCTATGATAGAGGGATAGTGGGTAAACCTCAATGCTAGCTACCTTGGGGTCTACCCACTATCCATCCAATAGGAACCAATCGGAGCTCAGCGTTCTGATGTCACCGCAATCTCTGCCGAGGAAGCAGACGACCGGTACGTCTGCTTCTTTTGCAGGGGTTGCACTGACGTCAGAACGCTGAGCTCTCATTGGCTATGATAGAGGGATAGTGGGTAAACCTCAATGCTAGCTACCTTGGGGTCTACCCACTATCCATCCAATAAGAGCCAATCGGAGCTCAGCGTTCTGATGTCACCGCAATCTCTGCCGAGGAAGCAGACGACCGGTACGTCTGCTTCTTTTGCAGGGGTTGCACTGACGTCAGAACGCTGAGCTCTCATTGGCTATGATAGAGGGATAGTGGGTAAACCTCAATGCTAGCTACCTTGGGGTCTACCCACTATCGATCCAATAGGAGCCAATCAGAGCTCAGCGTTCTGATGTCACCGCAATCTCTGCCGAGGAAGCAGACGACCGGTACGTCTGCTTCTTTTGGAGGGGTTGCACTGACATCAGAACACTGAGCTCTAATTGGCTATGATAGAGGGATAGTGGGTAAACCTCAATGCTAGCTACCTTGGGGTCTACCCACTATCCATCCAATAGGAGCCAATCGGAGCTCAGCGTTCTGATGTCACCGCAATCTCTGCCGAGGAAGCAGACGACCGGTACGTCTGCTTCTTTTGCAGGGGTTGCACTGACGTCAGAACGCTGAGCTCTCATTGGCTATGATAGAGGGATAGTGGGTAAACCTCAATGCTAGCTACCTTGGGGTCTACCCACTATCCATCCAATAGGAGCCAATCGGAGCTCAGCGTTCTGATGTCACCGCAATCTCTGCCGAGGAAGCAGACGACCGGTACGTCTGCTTCTTTTGCAGGGGTTGCACTGACGTCAGAACGCTGAGCTCTCATTGGCTATGATAGAGGGATAGTGGGTAAACCTCAATGCTAGCTACCTTGGGGTCTACCCACTATCCATCCAATAGGAGCCAATCGGAGCTCAGCGTTCTGATGTCACCGCAATCTCTGCCGAGGAAGCAGACGACCGGTACGTCTGCTTCTTTTGGAGGGGTTGCACTGACATCAGAACACTGAGCTCTAATTGGCTATGATGGAGGGATAGTGGGTAAACCTCAATGCTAGCTACCTTGGGGTCTACCCACTATCCATCCAATAGGAGCCAATCGGAGCTCAGCGTTCTGATGTCACCGCAATCTCTGCCGAGGAAGCAGACGACCGGTACGTCTGCTTCTTTTGCAGGTGTTGCACTGACGTCAGAACGCTGAGCTCTCATTGGCTATGATAGAGGGATAGTGGGTAAACCTCAATGCTAGCTACCTTGGGGTCTACCCACTATCCATCCAATAGGAGCCAATCAGAGCTCAGCGTTCTGATGTCACCGCAATCTCTGCCGAGGAAGCAGACGACCGGTACGTCTGCTTCTTTTGCAGGGGTTGCACTGACGTCAGAACGCTGAGCTCTCATTGGCTATGATAGAGGGATAGTGGGTAAACCTCAATGCTAGCTACCTTGGGGTCTACCCACTATCCATCCAATAGGAGCCAATCGGAGCTCAGCGTTCTGATGTCACCGCAATCTCTGCCGAGGAAGCAGACGACCGGTACGTCTGCTTCTTTTGCAGGGGTTGCACTGACGTCAGAACGCTGAGCTCTCATTGGCTATGATAGAGGGATAGTGGGTAAACCTCAACGCTAGCTGCCTTGCTGCCTTAGGATCTACCCACTATCTTTCCAATCGGAGCCAATCAGAGCTCGGCGTTCTGATGTCACCGCAATCTCTGCCGAGGAAGCAGACGACCATGCGCTCCGCATAGGTTTCTAATAAATGCGGCTATGTAATAGCAGAACACCGACAACCACGAGTTCAAATGCAGCGTACCCCTAGCGATTCCATGCAGGTAACAGTCTCTCGATCTGTGAAGACAGTGAGGTCTGCGTGCTTATGTCGTAAGAGCTCCACGCCAGATGAGAGGGCCGCACACTCACCGTGGAGGGACAGAGTGACGAGCTTGTGGAGGTCCTGCCCCAGGCCATTGGACACGGTGCAGTGATAGTTCCCGGCGTCCTCCTTGCGAACTTCCCGGATGAAGAGCGTCCCGTTGGACAGCTGCGACACCCTGGCGCCCACCAGGGACACCGGCCGCAAGTCCGTCTCTCCGTCTTCGGACACTGCGTATAGACCGGAGAGAAGAGACAGACCCGACGTTCTTTAATCGAAGCCATCTGATTTGGCCCTTACGTCTTTAGCTCATCCCCTGTTTCCAAACTGACACGCTGTTTACAAACAAGTCAGCGTTTGCCCGTGTGGCACTGTCTGCGTGCGCAGACAGCAGACTCGCCAGAAGTCAAACGTCTGCGCACGCGCTGGGCTGTCCACAGCACCACCGCAGCTGCGGAGACGTGAAAACCGCGAGTTGATGCATACATGACTTGGGCGTGACGTCATCGCATCATGCTGTTGGTCATTCCTACTTGTTACTGCCTAGAGGTACACGCTCAGCAGCAAGGTAGCCACAATGGCCGCTGACGTGACGTTAATGCAAGCCATGTATTTATCGTAAAAGCCCTTGGCTCCAATAAGTAAAAGTGGCATCCCAGGAGAGCTTAAATTTGCTCTTATCCTAAAGGAAAGTTTGATTCCCACAGCTCGTATTTTACTCCGCATTTCGTTAAAAAAAAGAAGAAATATACAAGCTCACGCGGAAATCCAGCAAACAAACAAAACTCACATAAAAAAGCAAGACAACGGTGGGTTTCGAATTTGACGAGCCGTGACAGTTCCTCGCCACAGCCTGCCGTCAACGACTATTCAATACACGAGGGAAATCAATTTCCCGCTTTATTTTCCTGCCTCCACAGTGCACTAAACACTAACAAAAAACGTCCCTGTAACGTTTGCATCCCTTATTCGATTTGCGAAGAAAACGAATGCGAGGAGAGTGGCGTAGAAAGAGGGGTGGGCTTCAAAACGGTAGGCCCACCTCCATCTCCGATCGCGAAAAGACGTCGGCCACTTTTGGAAGCAGCGAGATGCTGTCGTTTCCGGCTCCGGCTCCGGCTTCGGCCCTGGCTTCGGCTTCGGGTCCGCCGCTTGGCGGCCACGAGCGAGTTAAATTGCCCCTCGGGGTGCCTGGCAGGGGCCCGCCCCAAAAAGCAATTGCTCGCAGCGGGCAAGGGCTTGATTTATGGAGAGCTTTCTAAGCGTTGCGCGATTCTTGTCCTCCTGTACCGTTTTCCTTGGCTGCCGGAACAATGAAAAGCTCGTGCGGCGGACGCTGCGGCCTGCGATGGAGGAAAGCCATTGTCCGAGCGCGCAGTTTCTAACCCTGTTATAATGCCTGACCGGTAGTCGGCGCCAATTATTGTAAGAATTGTTTTTTATCCAAACATTCCCGGTATGTTCTATCCTTAAACCGCAGTGTGTTTTCTCTCTTTTTTTTTTATTGTTGTCACTGCGACATTGGAAGCTTGAGTAGCGAACCGGGTCTGCAAACATGATTATCTCAGATTCCTCATCAACGACAAGGTGACTAAACCCGAGCAACTTTCGTAATTGTGTCCGAGGCTAACGTCGGCGTCATCGATGTCATGACGCAAAGGTAATATGTGTCAAAGTTATGGTTTTTCGTAACAATGGTCCGTACAAAACAGCGGTGTGATTCGAAACATCCCCCTTATATCAGTCCCTGACGTCCCTGACTGCCCCGTGAGAAAGTAGTTCATAACTTGCACGAACGGTTATGACTTCGCAAGGACGTCATGTCCTTGTAATGTCACGTTTTGCATACACAACGCCGGCTTCCGACTTGGAATGCACAAGTAGCGAAGTCCCATTGTTGTTTCTTTTGAACCAAAAGAGGTTGCTATAGACCTTTCCAGCGGCAGTCTCGAACGAAGCGATCTACAGCGCGCGTCCCTGGTTTTGGGAGTGCACGTAAGTGTTGCCCGACTGCGCTGAGCTGTGGAGTTTCTCGTCAGTGGGCTGTGGCAGCCTGTGTAGGCGCAATTCCGGACGCTGGCAGCGGCTGAATTGCCGCGTTTTCTTTTTTATTTTGTGTTCTGTGGCGAACACAATTTATAGAGGTATTTAAGGCATGGCTCTACTTTTGGGTACAAAAACAAAAACAAATGAAAGCTGTTCTGGTGAGTCCGTGCGCGACAGAACAAATGCGACTGGAATGTTTGTTTCATTTTATGTTCATCGTTTTACGGCACCGTACACTCAGCCGTGTCAATAATCTATATAGGTCAAAATATTTGACCACACAGGATATCCGAACTGCACGGATATTCCCCGCCCACAATATGAAATTCAATGAGTCTCATCAATCGAACAACATATATTGTACGTACCCCACGGTGCCGCGTTATCCGAACAGGATTTGAGAAAGGTCTCAAATAACACAGCATATCCAATATACAGTGTCGACGATAGTCACATCACGACAATCGGACGGAATCCGGCGTGTTTTGGGGAACATGTAGAAGAGAGCAGCTTTTTTGCACAGCTTCAAAGCAAATGAACGAACGTGCTTATTCTGTTCCCACACCACGGACCCGACCCTATCAGCGATTTTTCGCGAAGACCCGGAACACAGCGGGGAAGGCTTTTTGGAGATTATCTCAACGGAAATAGTCCTCCAAGAACGTCGAACTGCCTGCGTCGCGGCCTGCTTGACGTTCGCTCTCTTCGTTCGTTTCCTGCGAAGGTCGAGCAGGCTACAAGCCCTGGTATTCTCTGGTTCTCACAGTGGAAGATAACATACAAAGGGTAAGCATCCTAAGCAGGCGAATAAAGTAAAAACTTCCAAGGAAAGCCGGCGAACTCCGAATGCAAAATGCAGGTGGGGAGTCACGCTGACCGGGTTTCCACAGTTCAGGCGGGTGCCAGAAATTTCTGGCTGATAGGGGTCGCTCGATTCGCAAAATGGCGGCGGCCAGAGCGCTCTTTTTGCAAAGGTCTATATCTTGCGGTGGCCGCAAGCACGCTTGTGCCCTTGGGCGCCGACTCATGTTTCTGACATCACGTCGGGACGGCGCACGCGCAAATGCCTCTCTCTCTTTCTCTCTCTCTCTCTTTCTTTCTACGAATTTCTGTGTAGTCGAAGTGCAGAAGCACTCGTTTATAAAAACAGTGAGTTGGTGTTTAGACAATTCCTGATTTGCTTTTGTCAATTTTTACCAGCGTTTCTTTTCTTCTTTTTTTTTTTTTTCTTTTTACACTGTTTTCTAAAGATTGGTCGACCTGCTGTGGACGTTATCGCGACTTCCCGCCCGAACGCGATTCGTTCTGCTGGCGTAAGCTTGCTCGGAACGCTGCACCGCTGTTCCATCTCGTAATTGCGGAACCCGCTGGCTGTATAATGCAGCCGGCGAGCAGCGAGCCCCGGCTGATATTGTTGTCGCTCACATTAGGGGAGTGCGGGTCGGGTGAAACGCACGCACACGCACACACTCACGCACAAACAAGCGCGCACACGCACGCACACACTCGCGTACACAAGCACCCAACACGCAAACACACCGACACAAACACTCGCACGCACGACCCCAAGTGTAAATAAGTGAGAGAAAGAGATCCGAATGATATAGGAGCCGCTCGGTGCCGGAAGTCGAGGAGGCTCATTAGGAAAGTCACCCGTTCCGCGTTCGAATGTCGGCACTCCCTTCCGGTCAAAATGGTTGTCACAGGATCCGTGTATGGCTGGAAGTGCGATCGGCCTGGCGAAGGTATCTGATTGTTTTACAGGAGTTCTTTTTACAAGGCCCACCACATAGTCTGGGGGGAGTTCGACGATAAGCGAATTCTGTTGCCCACGAAAGAAGCATTGATCGATGACCTGACCACTGTTTAACTAAATCAAACATGTGCTAGGATACTGCGCGATATAGAATACAAAACGTTAATCTGTGTTACTCAGCTCATGCTAATTTCCGGGCTAAAATGTCAAAGGGGCATTTTCCTTTGTTAGGCGGCTTCTTCCTATCGTCATCGTCACTGCCCTTCTTTCGTATTATTATTGTTTTTATTACTGGTAATTGTAGCACTAGTAAGACGAGTATCGCGTCCGTCCTTCTAGATTCCGCTGCATCGATTTGATTGTTTTATTCTAGTTATTTAAATAGAATACTTCAATTTGAAGGCTATCGTACTTTCGCCACTTTGTTCGGCGTCGTGTGTTTATTTTGTCTGAGATGGCTGACCCCCCAACGTGCGGTCCACTCATCACAGGACCCTCTTCTTCCTTTCGAGTTAAAAAAAGGGAGGACATAATCGAGGGTTCTAGAATAATTTCGTACGAAACTTCTTTTCAAGGATCTTAAGCTTCTATTGTGGAGCTGAACGACTACCACCGTATTCTTCGGACCTTTAGTCCGCGGACTACTTGTTGTCCTGTTCGTTTTATTATTATTCCTGTGTCTTGGGTTTACCATGCACTATGCATGTTAAGGCTTGACATTTTACGCCGTGCGGACTACCTACGTGTGCGGACTATCTATCGCCCGACTCTGTTGGCAAAAGCTGATGACAAATGACAGCACTGATTCTAGTAGCAGTTTTTCTATAAGTTTTCCTCTAAAAATTCCTCAGGTTGTTTTTTCCCCCCAGCATTTGAAGATAATTCTGGCGATATCTTACATTGCCTGGTGATAGTTACAAAATGCAGAGGGGAAGAAAAATTTGCTTAAAAGGACTAAGGAAGAAAACATTCTTTTTTTCTTGTTTTTTCTAGGTGGCGCAAGCTACCGCTTGATGTAAACGGTACAACCGTTAGCATCCAACGGTCCATACATCCATGCAATACGTCTGCTGTGTCGTCACTCTAAAGCGTAGCTCACTCACTCTCAGTGACCCTTACTCTAAAGCGCAGCATACCCAGTGACTTTACGTGAGAAATCTTGAGCACCAACATGACTGCAGTGTCATTACTCGAAGGTGTAGCGTGCTCAGTTACTCTACGTGAGAGATCTTGAGCACCAATGTGGCTGCGCTGTCTTTACTCCAAAGCGTAGCTTACTTGATCATTCTACGTGCGAGACGTTGAGAGAAAGCGGCGAAAACTCACCGGGCTCTTCTTTGGCCCAGCGCACGGTGGGCGTCGGGTAGCCGACCGCCAGGCAGTCCAGGGACGCCGGGCCGTCCAGCGCCGCCGACACGTCGCGGGGCGGAGATTCCCACTGCGGCGACGCTGCCAAGGAAGAGACGAGACATTACACTACTGACAGTACACTAATTAAATTGCGGAACGTAAATCACTTCCTTTAAATTGATGACCGGTGCAGTCAGTCACTTTATCGGACTTTAAACCACATACGTCCCCAAATCGCAAAATACTTTTCAACCGATGGGAGTCGGAATTGAACCTTTGATTTAGTAGGGCAGGAAGTTAAAGTTTCATTCCTGTCGGTTTCCGTAGTTACCTATTTATTTATTATAAGCGTTAAAGGACCGAATACATTACATCGGAGTGTACCACGCATATAAAATACAAACATAAACTTGTTAAAATAAAAGAACTTAATTATACCACGCATTGTGGTACGTCTTGATGGTGAAGAACATGATTAGTGACGGAAAGAAATTAATTCGCGGAGGTTGTTCCACGCAAGAATCGTATCGGGGTTTTCCCCCGATACGATTCTTGCGTGGAACAACCTCCGCGAATTAGAGCTGGTAAAAGAAAGGCATTTAATTTCTTTGGGAACGCTCGACGCTATACTGTGTTTGAACTTTGATGCACGATGATCATCAAGCAGGTATAAGCGCCAAAAAAACACAGCGACAAGAAAGTTAGAAAGTAGACAGACAAAATCGCTCTCGCAACTAACTTTTATATATACGGAAATACTATTATAGCCGTGGGAAAACAAACGGTCACTGCCAATTCCAATGTAACCCCCGTAACAAAACAAACAAACAAAAAAAAAACGATAAATTTGCCGAGTGAAGTGTCACTCATCGCGCGCAGAACGATCAGAATAGGAGACATTTCAATAAAATGTTTGGGGAGGACATGGCGAGACATTGTATCCGCGTGCGTTTGTGAGATATCGCTAATGTGGTCCTAACGATGTAATAGTAAAATAAAATACGATTGGTCGATTAGAATGACTGGTAACGAACACACCTGCTCCCCTATTTCTTTGTGTTTCTGCAACAGTGAAAAAAAAAACTGATAACGAGTTTTTAGAGAAACTACTTACTGCACGTGTTTTCATAGCAGATGACCTTCCCTTCCGCCATCTTACATTTTCATTCCGAACCTCTGACGGAAGAAAGCGCTTTACGTGGACATTTTGTAAAGGCATAAAAGGTGTCACGGCAAATTCGAGTGACCCTGCTCCATTTCTTGTTCTCCTTCTCAGAACGGCAATTTGGCATGCAACGGAAGCGATCCCCTGGCTACCGTCCGAAGTACCGAATCGATCTGAACCTGAACCAAGCCCCGACATTCGCTGCACAAGGTCGATGTGCGCGCCCATCCCATGGATCCACCACGAGGGCGGCTGCACTATTTTTTTTTTTTGTCTACGGGGAACCGATCGAAGTGCCGCTCGAAATATACGCCCCTTTGCGCGGTCTCGTACCTCTTCCTTTGTCACGTATCTCTATATTTTTCGCGGATGAGGCGCAAGGTCAGGGTTTCGCGACGTCGATCGCAAGCTATTCGGATATAACATCATCGCCACGACGTGATTGAAGTTGCTGCCTGACAGAAATCGAGCTCGGTTCGTCGCGCACATGGAAACGAGTTGGTTGGCGAACCTTTTCATTCATTTTTTTAGAAAGTTTTAGTAGATCGTTTTGATACCTCCGATAACCGTACCTGATAACGATACGCAGATCTTTGGTGGAGTATTGGTTATCGTTATCGGAGTCATCGGAAGGATCGACTAGAACTCCTTTTTATCTCTATCCCTCTCGATCTTTATCTCTCCTTTTATCTCTCTTTATTTCCCTCTCGATTTTTTTTTTTTTTTTTTTTGCTCGCTATTGAGGTTGTTTTTTAGACGAACTACAATTGCCCGTTTTCGCAAAACGCTCAATTGTGAAGCTCACATTCTTGGTGCTGATCCGTGTAATACTCTTCAAGTGACAACGGGCAATGCTTCATTAAATGAGGGAAATATCAACGCATCTTAATCCTAGGGATAAAGTTGTTAGATGCGTAATACGTAGCGTGTTTCGAGATACACACCGTCAACGTGACACATGCCAACATCACCAAGATGCAATCTATAGGCGGTGTTGCGTGAACACGTTGTCACGTGACTTAAGTGACGCATGGCTTGACTTCGCGTAACGCCACAACTTGACATCAAGTCGCGTGATGATGACACGTGACGTCAAGATGTCACGTGATGTTGTCCCGTAACGACTGTCACGTTGATTAGGTCGCGTGAACACCGTCCGCTAAATTTGCCGCCTTATGCCACGCGCTTTGGTCACGTGGTCACATGGCCGTCATAATCAACTAACCCGCTAAATTTATCGAGAGAATTTCGTGCTACACTTTTCCGTTACAGATTTGAGTTGCACTTTCACTACATTTCTGCATTATACTTCCGTTACAATTTTCGGAGGCAATTTTTTTCCCCATCTAATCCCAGCCCTTTGTACAGTTGCAAACGAAGAAGGGAACAACCGGTCTCGTTTTTTATTCGTGCGTCGGTGCGCGTACTTTCTGTGATACTATTCCAGCCTCAAAGAATATATCGTCTTAGACAGATCTATACTTTGTAGGACACTTCCGGAAACGCCGTGTTTCTAATCGCACGCCGTTTTCATTTTTTTACGAGCGCGGGACTCATTCATCAGTTCGCCACCGTCAATAACTATCGCGGTATGCGGCACAAACAACGGTCGGTGGAGCCGTCAGCGCGGACGCGACGAGCCGCGCTCCGTTCGATCATATATACTGGGACATAATTGCAACCACATATCCCTCGGGAGCATTTAACGTGACAGATGTCACACGTTTCATTACCTTCTTTCGTGACGATTATTTTCGATACAAATTTTCTCGCACCCAGGCACGTATAAACGAACCAAACAGTTATATATCATCTATACTCCGTTTCACGCCAAGTTCTAGCGCAGCCGACCCTATATGTGGAGAGCAAGTTCGTCCGCTTCTTGCGCGGGGGTGGCGGTGACGTCAGAACAACGCCGAGTTCTGATTGGGTCCGATGGAGCCAATCAAGCAGCGCCAAAAGTGCATTCTCACGGCGATCGTCGTCTTTGCGTGTTTGCTTTATCACCGGCTAAACCAATCACTCATTTAAAAAAAAAAAAAGAAAGAACGCAGATAACGGCGCATTCACTGTGCCTGATTGGTTCAACCGACGATAGCAAACGCGCGAAGACGATCAGTGCTGTGACGATGCCCTTTTGACTTTGCTTGATTTGCTCTACAGGGTCGATTCGGTGGAGCCAGTTGCGTCCAGTTACGTTCTGAGATGCAATCTTTAAGCTTACCCAAAACAAACGAGAAGCAAAAAAAAAAAAAAGCGAATTATATTGTTTAGCGATCGTGAAAACAAGTATATAGTCCTCATAGTTATTCGCAAGCTTCCCATTTCATTCATTCCCCTCTAATCGAACGGGCGTCGAAGCCCCAAAAGCGCGTATTGAAGCGTCGATGAGAATGCGTACAACGTCCCCCTGTCAGGACGGGGCTCGTTAGCAAGAAACATCTCTTTCAGTTGGCTGCATGGATGTCGAGTCAACAACACGGCCAATTTGCGAATGTGGAACGACTAACAAATAACTTCCGCGCCCGAGACGTGGAAGCGAGCCAGGTGTGCTTCTTCCACTACCCTACTACTCTCTCACAGACCGAGAATGAGAAGAGGGCATTGCCAGCTGGAAGACGCTTTTAGCGACGAGGTGCGAGAGCGGGGACCTGGTGGGGAAAGACCTCCTCCCGCCCCGGCCATTCGGACAGGGCACACACACCCCAAGACTCCCTCCCGAGAGGTGCGCGCACGCGCAAGCAAGACAGACACGCTCTTGTCCTCGTTTTATTTTCCTGCCGCCGAAGATTGAATGGACGGACGGGGAAAATGGCGGGTTGGTTGGAACCTAGCAGTTGCAGCGGGAACTCTGCGTTCTCATCTTCGGGCAGACCGTGCTGGACGGTAGCCGGGACGTTCTGCCAATCCAGTGACTGGAAAGTGTCACGTGACATTGTAATCAGACACCGCGACGCGGGGAAGTGTGTAGGGACGAGTCACGTGACCCCTGCGCTGTGATTGGCGCGCGGCGTCCGTCGTGGTTCACTTGGAGGTGAAATGGGAGAGGAAGCCAGCTGTTGTTGCTCCCCCCCCCCCCCCCCCCCCCCTGCACACATTGCCGTCGGTTCCCGGTCGCCGAGGGAAGTAGCGTTCATTTTGGCTTTGCGATGTTGCTATGGTTGTGTTGGTGTTTCGGGGGACAAGGGCAGACGTCCCGGCGATTCTCGGGGGAGTACGGGGTGGTGAGGGAGCGGAGAGCTGTGTGGGGTTGGTAACAGGAGATGGCGTGTCTCCTGCTGTTGCTGGCGGCAGAGGCGAGACGGTGGTACGTGGGATGGATTCTTGAGATATTGAAGCCTCGTGGAGTGGTGGTAGACGGCCTCGTCTGTAACTTCAGGAAAACTCCGAGTTCTCCGACCAGACGAAAGAAGCGACAAGGGTGTGCGTGCACTGTTTCCGTTTTCCTTCCTTTAGGTGTGTCCCGTTCTTAACCATTATTGCTTATCTTACTTCCTGAAACGAAATACAGAAACCGCGGTCGATTTTCTTGCGCTTTTTTAGTCGGAACTTTGAAATAGGAGTAGTTCCTAATTGGCCAAATAAATTATTCTGTCAGCTTCGGTGTAATATCTGTCAGCGAGTACGGACAACTCGGCTGCTGTGGCGGGGGCACGGGACAGGACGCAGCTATCTTCTTGAGCGGAAACACATGACTCTCTTTTTCCGGCGCGGGCTGATTAGGTAATCGCAGAAGTGGCAGCTGGTCAAGCTCAGAAATCAATTTATACGGCAAGTTGCTCGCTCCATACATCTACACGAAATATATAAGGCTAAAAAAAAACAAAACAAAAAAAAAAAACAGCGTTTTTGCAGTTGGAGTCATTTAGCTAAATGACTTAAACACCAAGGAAATACCGGGAACGTAGATGCGCGTGCTGCACGCACTCCTCTT